ATTAAAAAAAAAAGAAGCACGACTTGCTGTTTCGTAAAGCTAAAGGGAGACGTCATGTTGTTTAAAAAAAACAAAGCAAAACCCAAAAGAAGCAACTAATTAAAATCACAATAGTATAAGTTTTGAAGTTTCCATCGAATCGAGTCTACACACTCTACGCAAAACCAAACTTTTAAAACCATGATTGTAACCAAAACTCAACCCTAAATAAAATTCTAAAAATAATTTAGGCGCATTGTTGTTGGTAATGAGTTGACCAGTCAATAGAAGCAAAATTAGTCAACGAATTTAATCTTCACATATAAAACATTACTATATTAATTAAATACTAACAATTACTCTGGTGCATCATCGGATCGGAGAAGAGCTTCCCGACTTGAGAGATTCGTTACTCCGGCGAAGAATATGAAGAGCAGATTAAAGAGCTACAAGAGGAAGAAGCTAGGGTTAGCCACAGTTATCATCTTCTGTCCTCTCTGTTTCCTCATCGGTTTCTACGGATCCACTCTACTTTCCCAGGTGTGGAAACTCACTGATCTTTAAGATGCGATCGGATCTGCATTTTGGTTATCTGGGTTTAGTTTTTTTTGTGACTAATCGAGGGTTTTTTTGATTTTGAGGAAGCAGAATGTTCCTGGAGTTAGACCCAGGTTGAGAATGTTGGAGATGGTGGAAAATGGAGAAGAAGATGCTGGTTTGATGCCTCATGGTGTTACTGGAGAAGAATCTGTTGGATCGATTCCGTTTCAGGTCATCTTTTGTTGCTAATATCGATCAGTTAGGGCAAAATTGTGCATTTTGATCGAACTTGAACTGTGTTCTTGTGATTTTTGTGTGAGGGATTATTGGGTTTTATAGCAATTGGGAATTGAAGTAAGTAGTGAAAAATTGAAAGGATCATTTGGTTTGGAAATGGCAGGTACTGAGTTGGAAACCGAGGGCGATATATTTTCCGAATTTCGCAAGTGCAGAACAATGTCAAGCTATTATTGAGAGAGCAAAGATTAATCTGAAACCTTCTGCTTTGGCTCTAAGGAAAGGAGAAACTGCTGAGAGCACTAAGGGCACTAGAACAAGGTCTTTATTCCATTTTGATGTTGCATTTTGTAGAAAGAGTCGGCTTTTCTTGTAGTTGTTCTTCGATCAAACATTTGTCAGTAGCCTTCAGTGTTTTGCTATGTGTGTTGTTACAGCTCAGGAACTTTTGTCAGTGCTTCAGAAGAGAGTACTGGTGCTTTGGATTTTGTCGAAAAGAAAATTGCAAGGGCTACGATGATCCCAAGGACACATGGAGAGGTTTGATTTCTACTTCCCATTTACATGTGAATCGTAAATCTTGGCATTTATTAATATTGCTTGGTGATCTTTGGTTGAGTGGTTATCACCTCTTTGATTGTTATTTTTCGAGATTGCAAAATCTTGGATCCAGATTTCTAAATATCGACATGTTTGCAAAAAGAGTGGTGAATTTCCTAAAAGAGTAACAAGAGATTTGATGTTTTTGGCAGTCATTCAATATTTTACGGTATGAACTTGGCCAAAAGTATGATTCCCACTATGATGTTTTCAACCCAACCGAGTACGGTCCACAATCTAGCCAAAGGGTAAAATCCTTTACCTGTCATGTTTACAGCTTTCTTTAGAACCGAGAGTCCGAGACCTTATTTGCTTATACGCAGATTGCTTCCTTCTTGCTGTACTTATCTGATGTTGAAGAAGGCGGTGAAACCATGTTCCCATTTGAGGTTAGTTTACAATACATCATTGTATATTTTACATATTCAAACCGTTTTGTTAGTTTCATTCAAACGCTCTTGGTTTCCAGAATGGTGCTAATATGGGCATTGGATATGATTACAAGACATGTATCGGGCTAAAAGTAAAGCCTCGGAAAGGAGATGGACTTCTCTTCTATTCGGTGTTTCCAAATGGAACGATTGATCAGGTAAACAAAGTTTGAAACAAATATCAAATCCACATTTCAATTTCTTCTCTTGACTCCAATTCATTGGATTAGATTGTACCACCAGAGCTAATAGTACTTCTTTTCGCCTATGGTTTGCTTATGCAGACTTCGCTTCACGGAAGCTGCCCAGTAACCAAAGGAGAGAAATGGGTAGCGACCAAATGGATCAGAGACCAAGAACAACAAGACTAAGTACTTTTTTTCTAATATATCTCACAGCTTCTATCTATTTTTTTTTTTTTTKTCTGAAAATCTACTACTGATGGATCCATTGTGTACAGTTACTTCGCCAAAACAGTGTAACTTTCTTATAATGTTAATGGTACTTAAAACAAAATAAACGTTTGATATTTCTTCATTAGATGGAATATAAATATTCAAAGTAACAAGAGAGATGAGAATTGTGGGTCTATTTCTAAATATAAAGCTTATATATTTGTGTCATCTACACATCAATTACTACTTTATTTTATGATTTGAGTTGTTTGTACACAAATAAATGATATAAACTTTTCATTGTAGTTTTGTTTAGAATCTTCTAATGATCTCAAAGAAAGCCTCGTCCTCCAGTGATGTACATGATTTTGACTTGCATTTCTTTAAAATAAAGAGTTTTATAAAGAGTGGCTCAAAATTCGGACCGTGGGACACGAACGGTAACACGTGGCTCCTTTTAAAGGTTTAGCGTCACTGAATTTGAACTGTACGTGTCAGAAACGATGACATGGACACTAACCAATGTGAACACGACGTTTTAGACCAGAAATTGTTGGGGGACGTTCGGTTTTTGACCCGTCCACCTTTTCAGGTCACGCGCTCTCCTCAGCCTAACAAGGTTAGGGTTATACACAGTACACACTTATTAGTTATTACACTCTTTAAGATGTTTAATGTAATTGTATTTTTGACCCAAAATAAAATATATTTTTTTACGTAATTGTATATATCAGCAGTACTGCTTCTCTTATGCTGTCCAAAACGGAACCTTGTTTTCAAAATTTTCATAGAACTAATTAACCAACACAATCACACACACTAAAACAATTATTGACACAACATAAATTTAGACTTGGCGTTTTTCTATATAAAAGCTATACAATTAAAAATACAGTGCTATAATTATTGTGGACCATACCGTTTTAAAAAAATAGCAAACAAGAAGTAGATTAAACATCCACTTAGTTTAGAAAAGAGCTAGCAAGAGAAAAAAAAAACATTGGCAAAGAAATAAATTATATAGCTCTCTAATGAAAGCTATATATTAACAAAAAGGGGCAGTGAATTCAAAATTGTATCTAAAGAT